GGCTTAATCATTTGCAGAGAATTTAATGAACAAATACATATTCTCATGAAACAGATAAAGTGTGAGGATGATAATTTATCACCAGAGGATTGTCTCCTTTAGAAAAGGATTTTTTTTTTAAAGAAGAGGATTTTCCAGAGAGTTCTTTTTAACCACTAATTCCTTAAGTGCATTTACAATGTGATTTGTGCCCAGTTTTTTCCCCAGGAACATGTCTTATAGAACATCAGGTATACATATAATTAAAGAGTTATAGGATCTCTGTGTTGGAAGGAACCTTAGAAGTGATCTGATCCAAGCTCCCACCTTGAAATAACACATTTATATGGGTTTTAAGGTTTGTAAAGGGTTTTTTTTTTTCACAAGACTCCTATGACGCAGGTACTCTAGATATCATTCTCATTTTACAGATAAGGAAACCAAACTCTAGAGTTAAAGTGTCTTGCCCAGAGGTGTCACATGGCTGTTGTTTGTGGTGGGATTTAAAACCAGACTTTTGACTTCAGGCTTACCCTTTTCAATAGGTTATAATGCTTTTCAAAAATGCTGGTGCCAGATAGCCTAGACAGGTGGCTTGAGAGTTCATTGTGTTAGGTGATAGCCTGGTCCACTACTAGGCGGCTCTAATTAGAAAGTTTGTGTCTCATATCAGTGGAATATTGGAGGAGGCATTCAGAGTCTGATGCCTTGTAAAGTTCTTTCCAACCATGAAGAGCCTCTGACCCCTCCCCAAGTCCTACAAGTTCTGACACCTCAAGCAACACAAAACAAGTATCCTCCTACATATCCTTCAAATGACTGTTCTCCCAAGTCATCTTTTCTTTCTTTCTTTTCTTTTTTTAAATAAATTTTAATTGATATCTTTAGTTGTTATCATCACCATGCTTTCCCCCAGTATCCCTCTCCCTCCCAGAGAGCTGTCCCATGTAATATAGTATTTCTAGGTCTCTTTTCATCTAGGCCTCTCCTCACTTCTTTTCATATAACAGGTTGTTTTTTTTTTTTTAAACCTCTCATCATTCTGATGATTGAGGCAGCTAGGGGGCCCAATGGATAGAGCAGTGGACCTGGAATAAATAAGATGTGTTCAAATGTGGCTTCAGATACTTACTGGCAGTGTGACCCAGGTTTGCCTCAGTTTCCTTATCTGTAAAATGGGGATAGTAACAGTACCTCTCTCCCAGGGTTGTTGTGAGGATCAAATGAGATCGTATTTGTAAAGTATTTAGTACCTGGCATGTAGTAAGTGCTATCTAAATGTTATTGTTAATATTATTATTATTATTATTATTAATCTTACTCCTCTAATCCAACCCAATCCAGTAAGCATTAATTGAGGACCTTTGTGTACTGGGCACTATGCGAGGCACTGGGAATATAAAGACAAAATGCAAAACAATATCCACTCAAGGAGTTTACAGGAATATGTCTTGAGACATAGACTGGTTTGTTCTTATTCCTTATTTATTTATTTATTTATTGTTATTTTTTAAAATGAATTTATTTATTTTTAGTTTTCAACATTGACTTCCACAAGATTTTGAGTTCCACATTTTCTCCCCATCTCTCCCCTTCCCCCAATTCAAGACGGCATGCATCCTGAATACCCCTTTCCCCAATCTGCCCTCCCTTCAATCTCTCCCCTCTTCTCTTATCCCCTTCCTCTTCTATTTTCCTATAAGGCAGGATAGATTTTTGCACCCCATTGCCTGTATATCTTATTTCCCAGTTGCACGTAAAAACAATTTTTAACATTTGTTTTTAAAATTTTGAGTTCCAAATTCTCTTTCTTCCTCCCTTCCCAGCCACCCTCATTGAGAAGGCAAGCAACTCAATACAGGTTATACATGTGTAGTCATGTAAAGCACTTCCATAATAGTCATGTTGTGAAAAACTAATTATATTTCCCTTCATCCTATCCCACCTCCCTTTTATTCTGTTCTCTTCTCTGACCCTGTCCCTCCTCAAAAGTGTTTACTTCTGATTACCCCCTTCCCCAATCTGCCCTTCTTTCTATCTTCCCACCCTCTCTTATCCCCTTTCTTCCTATTTTCCTGTAGGGTAAGATAGGTTTCCATACCCAATTGAGTGTGTATGTTATTTCCTCCTTAAGCCAAATCCGAGGAGAGTAAGATTCACTCATTCCCTCTCACCTTCCCCCACTTCCCCTCCACTGTAAAAGCTTTTTCTTGTCTGTTTTTTAATGAGATAATAAGTCCCTTATGATTTCTCTTTCTTGTTTACCTTTCAATGCTTTTCTTGAGTCTTGTATTTGAAAGTTAAATTTTCTATTCAACTCTAGTCTTTTCATCAAGAATGCTTGAAAGTCCTCTATTTCACTGAATGTCCATTTTTTCCCCTGAAGGATTATACTCAGTTTTGCTGGATAGGTGATTCTTGGTTTTAATCCTAGCTCCTTTGACCTCCTGAATATCATATTCCAAGCCTTCTGGAGGATCCCTTCATGTAGAAGCTGCTAAATCTTGTGTTTCCACAATACTTGAATTGTTTCTTTCTGACTGCTTGCAATATTTTCTCCTTGACCTGGGAACTCTCGAATTTGGCTGTAATATTCCTAGGAATTTTCCTTTGGGGATCTCTTTCAGGAGGTGATTGGTGAATTCTTTCCATTTCAGTTTTACCTTCTGGTTCTAGAATATTAAGGCAATTTTCCTTGATAATTTCTTCTTTTTTTTTTTTTGGTGAGGCAATTGGAGTTAAATGACTTGCCCAGAGTCACACAGCTAGTAAGTATTATGTGTCTGAGGCCAGATTTGAATTCAGGTCCTCCTGACTCCAAGGCCGGTGCTCTATCCACTGCTCCACCTAGCTGCCCCCTCCTTGATAATTTCTTGCAAGATGATGTCTAGGCTCTTTTTTTGATCATAGCATTCAGGTAGTCCAATGATTTTTTAAATTATCTCTCCTGGATCTATTTTCCAGGTCAGTTGTTTTTCCAGTGAGATATTTCGCATTGTTTTCCATTTTTTCATTCTTTTGGTTTTGTTTTATAATTTCTTGATATCTCAAAGTCATCGGCTTCTATTTGCTCCGTTCTAATTTTTTAAATTTTTAAAAATTTTATTAATTTATTTTGATTTATCAACAATCACTTCTGTATGCTTTTGAGTTGAAAATTTTTTCTCCCCTTTCCTCCCCCCCACCCTCCCCAAGACGGCGCACAATCTGATATAGGCTTTACATTTACATACCCATGAAACGTATTTTCACATTAGTGAAGTTGTAAGTAAAAATTAAAACCAATAGGAGGAACCATCAGAAAGATGAAATAAAACTCAACAGAAGGTAAAAATAAGTGATAGCGATTCGACTTCCATAGTTCTTTCTTTGGATGTAGACAGCATTTTCCATCCCGAGGCCTCTGGAGATGTCTTAGGTCCTCGTAATGCTGAGAAGGGTTCAGTTTAACAATATTAGTCATTGCATAACGTGGCTGTTATTGTGTACAAAGTCCTCTTGGTTCTTCTCACTCCATTCTAATTTTTAAGGAAGTATTTTCCTCAGTGAGCTTTTGGGTTTCTTTTTCCATTTGGTCAATTCTGCTTTTTAAGGCATTCTTCTCTTCATTGGCTTTTGGACCTCTTTTGCCATTTGGGTTAGTCTGTTTTTTAAGGTGTTATTTTCTTCAGTATTTTTTGGGTTCTCCTTTAGCAAGCTGTTGACTTTTGTTTTTCATGATTTTCTTGCATCACTCTCATTTCTCTTCCCAGTGTTTCCTCTGCTTCTCTTACTTGCTTCTGAAAATCCTTTTTTGAGCTCTTCCATGGCCTGGGACTGATTTCATATTTTTCTTGGAGGCTTTGGATGTAGGAGCTTTGATTTTGTTGTCTTCTTCTGGTCATATGTTTTGATCTTCTTTGTCACCAAGTAAGAGTCTGTGGTCTGAGGTGTTTTTTTTGTTTGTTTGTTTTTGTTTTTGTTTTTGTGCTGCTTGCTTATGATCCCAGCCAATTACTTGACTTTTTGTTTTTTTATTTATTTTTGTTTGTTTGTTTGTTTTAGGCAATTGGGGTTAAGTGACTTGCTCAGGGTCACACAGCTAGTAAGTGTCAAGTGTTTGGTCTGAGGCCGGATTTGAACTCAGGTACTCCTGACTAAAGAGCCGGTGCTGTATCCACTGTGCCACCTAGCTGCTCCCAGTTACTTGACTTCTGAACTCTTTGTTAAGGTAGAGGTCTGCTTCCAGTGTGGAGAATATACTGTCCCAAGCTTCAGGAGTTTTGTGCAGCTGTTTTCAGAGAGCCTTCTAAGGTCCTCTAAATTTTCAGTTCTTCCAAGGTGGTATGATCAAAGGCGAGTTATTTATTCCTTTCCTGGCCTGTGCTCTGGTCTGTGTGTGACCACAAGCACGCTTTTCTGCGTTGGAACTATGAGGAGGATTCCCTTTTCACTGCTGCCACAAGCTTCACTACGCCAACACTCCTCCTCACCCCAGGACCTCCACCTAGTACCGTGACCCAGATGCAAACACGGGCAAAGCAAGAGAATCCTGCCTCAGCACCAGCAAAGAGATCCCTGCAATCCCCCCGATCAGCCACTTGATCCCCCCACTGTCTGTGGATCGAGAGCTCTGGAAGCAGCTGCTGCCCCAGATTTGCTGAGGCCCTGTCTTTTCCTGCACAGCCCATGCTGAACTGCGTTCCTGTCCCATCTTGGCGCAACAGACCTTTCCCATCAACCATCCAGGTTGTCTTGGGCTGGCAGTTTGTTTCACTCTGTCTTTTTGTGTGTTCTGCTGCTCTGGAATTTGTTTAGAGTCATTTTTTACAGGTGTCTGGAGGGGTTTGGGGGAGAGCTCAAGCAAAAAGCTCACTGCTTTTATTCTGCTATCTTGGCTCCGCCCCCTGTTCTTATTCCTTTTAAAATGAACATGGGATTTGGTACAGTACGAAAATTCTTTTTCAGATATGTAAGATAATACCTGTCAGGTTTCTCATGAATCATAATATAGATCTTATGCCCTGGGTTTTTTCTTTCAGGCACTGAACCAATTGAATGAACGAACATCATTGCAAGAGTCAGCCTAGTGAGATGGTACAACCCAACGGGGGTCCATCAGGAGATTACGAGACCCTTGGTGAAGGGTCTTCCCTGGGGAAATCAGCCATGCTGCATCTCCCTTCCAACCAAGTCTCTCCGGAGGCCCTCCAGCGCTTCTTGGAGGAGAACCAAGAGCTCAGAGGTGAGTGCCCCTCTACTAGCTGGGAACCTGATGGCTTAGAGTTGAGGTCCTTGGTGTTTTTGCATGGAGGAGCTAGTCTATGCATGTGAAGACTTGGGAGCTATGAGACTGAGGTGGGGATGCCAGAGGAAAGTCCAGGATGGGGCCTGGCCATATCTCTCTTCCCCTTCCAGTAGGGGTTAGGAACCTGTGGTCTGTAAACTTGTTTTTTTTTTAAAATATTTTGATAAATGCATTTTGATGCAGTTGGTTTCTGTTATAATCCTTTGCATTTTATTTTATTCATTTATTTTTTGAGAGTCTGTAGGCTTCACCAGACTGCTAACAGAGTCTGGGATAGAAGATAAGGGTAAGAGTCACTTTTTAGCTAGAGCTCCTGTGGCCAACCACATTGAAATATAATTGACTATTTGGGGACCTCTGATTTAGTGGATGGAATTGCCTTCTTCAAAAAGCTTTATTGGTGACTGATGCTTGTTTGTTTTATACCAGTCATTTCTTGATTTACGCGTGCCTTCTATCCTCCCAATTATCTCCATTCAATGTTCCCTTGTTGAAAATGTGATGGATACTTCGACTATTGGCCCCATTTTGCCCCTCTAGTCTTCCATTTCTCTACGGGAAGGAAGGAGGTATGTTTTACCTTCTCTTCTCTCATTGTATTTCAGCTGTAAGTTCAGCTGCCTCTTTGTGTTATTTTCACTTAACTTGATTGTAGTCATGATGTCTGTTGTTCTCGTGGCTCTGTTTACTTTGCTCTTTGTTCACGAATTAATAATCATGCAAATCTTCCCATGTTTTTCAAATTCCTCACATTTGTAGTTTCTTATGATTTAGTAGTATTCCATTATAGCGGAATCTGTCATATTCACATTTAATTGACCTGAATTCAACTCTACATACCAGGCAAAAAAATAAAAGAAAATTACAGTTGACATGATGTAGGTGGACGGTCTCTCATTGAACCTGTTGAGTATATACTCTAGGATAAGCCTGAGGTGGGAGACTGAATCTTTTATTCCACAGTTGGAGTTCAAGCCCTATGAGTCTTTCATAATCTCTTGCCCCAGTGACTGATTCTAGGATCTCCTCTCCATCATAGCCATAAGCAGTCTCTTCAGTTAGTCACTGAGCATTAACTACCTGCTGTGTGCCTAGGCATTGTGTGAGTCACTGGGGTACAAAGGTCAAATGAAATGGGGTGGGGTGGGTGGCAGGAGCCAGTATTCCAAGAGTGGAAATGGCATTCATATTCTAGACACATATACATATGTATGTATGTATGTGTATCTATATATGTGTGTATATAACATACAAAATACCATATGGTAGGAGAGAGGTATTGGGGGAGATACTGGGGGATGTGGGAAGGGGAAGACAGTACTGGCTAAGGGGTCTGGGAAAGGCGTGGTGCAGAAGGTGGACCTTGAGCTAAGCATTGAAAGAAACCGGGGCTTCCACAAGACACAGATGGAGAAGGAATACATTCCAGGTACTATAGAGAGAGGAGATGGAGTATCATGTGTGAGGAGCAAGAAGAAGGCCGCTTGGGCTAGGTCACAGAGCATTGTGTAATAAGGCTAGAAAGGTAGACTTCAGCTTGAAATACTAAAAAGATGAGATGTTATTTGATCTTGAAGGAGCTCTAAGGAGCCAGCTGGATTTTGAGTAGGGGCTGTGGTATGCTCATATTTATACTTTAGGAAAATTATTTGGGTAGTTTAGGTTGGTAGGGTTAAAGAGAGGGATGGCCTTTGTCCTGGTCAGCAAGAAGTCCCCTGCTAAGTTTCATTGACCTTGTGTCCTCACTTGTCCCCTTGGTAAAGCAGGAAGAAGAAATAGTGACTTTGGGGCTAGGGTGACCATTCTCTAACAACCCTTATGCACACTTCCTTCTGAAGCCTTTCCAAAAGTATTGTTTCTCCTCATTAGTTTTCCTGCCAGCTGCTATGTCTTGACCTGTTTTGGTTTTCCTTTTGAAAGTAAGTTTTGGTTCCAACCTCTTTCAGTTTAGTTGGACATAGGGAAAAAATAATATTTTCATTCAGTTTTGCCGCAGCAACAATCTCTGATGAATTTGCCCTCTTGATGTAGGGTGCCTTCTTTTAAACTTTGAAATTTAAAGATACCCTGGACCCTTTCAACTGAAGTTGTTTAAAGAAACTGTATTGAACTTGATGGACAATTTAAGGGATTTTCCAGGATAATTTTGACAAACTTGACTTGGAATCTATCCTCTCCCCTCCCCATCTAAAGATGCCTCTGTTTTATGTCCCTGCTCTGTAGTTCTTTTGGTCATTCTCTAATCCACTTTGTTTTCAGTTGTTTACTACTAGAAATAGTTGCATTACATGGAAACTTCCTTTCTGGGGTATATATGGCCTTGGTGTATATATGGCCCATGGTGAAATCACTGAGTCACAGAGGGTGATGGATCCATTTAGTGACTTTGCTGTCATAATTCCAAATTGCTTTCTGGAATGGTTCAACCAATTCTTGGCTCCATTAACAGTGCAGTATTGTTCCTGTCTTCCCATGAACTCACCCACATTGACTTTTCCTGTCTTTTTAGATTATGCTTGTCAATTTGATGAGTGGGAGGTGAAACTTCAGGGTTAGTTTCATGTGCATTTCTCTTATTGATGATTAGGAGCACTTTCAAATTTGTTATTGATGGTTTGCATTTCTTTTGCAAACTGTTCCTTGTATTTTGAGTGATGACTCTTTGTCTGGAATTTCTTTAAAATACGGTTTAAAAAGACAAACTTTCTCCTGGGATGATGAGTGCTGAGAGATGATATGAGTTTATAAAGGCAAGTTTTTATGGGAGAAATGCAAAGGGTGAAAGAACTATGGGCTTCTTTACCCAGTTCTGGAATGTTAAAATTGAGGGGAGGGACCCTCCTGAAGTTTTCAGAAACTAGGAAAGAGTAGTAATATGGTATAGAGGCAAGACTCAGGGACTGGGAATCAGGAGACTTAGGTCCTAGTACAGACTGCTGCCATTGTCTAATGGTAAGACCTTGGGCAAATTCCTTCGCTGATCTGGAAGTGAATCTGTGATCTGTAAAGGAAAGGAATTGTGTCAAACAGCTAGTGAAACCTTGCTTCCAGAGGCAGAGTCAAGATGATTGAGTGAGAGGAAGCATTTTAGTCCAGTTCACCAAGCTCTATCTTGACAAAAATCTAGAAAATGTACCAGTCTGGATTCTGATTGGTGAAAGCCCAGAAAAAATCACAGGGAGTCACTTTACCAGCCCAGGGCAGCTTGGGAAGCTAGATGAAGAGGTCTGAGAGGTCTGTGGACATTGGGGCAGGGGCTGGTCAGGAGCACAGCCCAGCAACAGTTGCAGCAAGCTTTCCAGTGCCCAGGGACTGATGGGCCTGAGGGCCCAGACAGGGCACCAGGGCAGGAAGCATCAAGACAGAAAAAGATCCCAGGGGGTCCCTGAACTAACACTGGGTGCAGGAACAGGGACCATCTAGCACCTCTATAGCCACTACCCAATTCTAGGTGTCAGATCCAAGGCAGAGAGGAGTGGTCATGAGTGTGGGCATCAGCTGTGTACTGAGCAAGGAGCATGTTGCAGAAGTGTACCTGTGTGGTTCTGGTCCCAGGGGCAGAGCAGCAACTCATTTCTAGCCTTTTACCCAGTACCATAAGCCTGCAGTGGGATAACCAGGGCAGGAGTCCCAAACCAAAGGGGAGCCTCCCAGCATGTCAGTAGTGACTGAGTCCAGGAACTATCTGCTGAAATTCCCAACCAGGGACAACCCAATAGACTCAAGCCTGGGTCAGGAACTTGCAGAGCACAGACTAGGAGGGCAGTGAACAGACCTCACCTGGTATCACTCTACTTTGAGCTGTGAAAGCTGCAGCAGGACATGATAACAGTAACTGGTAATAATAATAACTAACATTTATATAGTGCTTTAGATGCACTCAGCACTATGCCAAGTGCTTTACAATTATCTCATTTGATCCTTATCACCCTGGGAGTAGGCACTGTTATCATCCCCATTTTACAGTTGAGAGAAGGATGCAAACAGATGAAGTGACTTTTTGAGGTCACACAGCTAGTAAGTATCTGAGGTGGGATTTGAATTCAGGTCTTCCTGACTCTGCAGTCAGGCCCAGTGCTTTGTGTACTCTTGTACCACTTGGCACCCTCAGAAGAGAATTTGATTCAAAGGCCACTGTGCCTTGAGAGAGGTACAAAATTTGAATAAGACATGACCTCTTTCTTTAGTGAACTTGCAGTCTAATGGGGAAATAAATCAATAGAAATAATAATAACTAACATGTGATTCTTTGCTTTATATATGTTATCTCATTTGAGCTTTACAGCAACCGTATAAGGTAGGTATCATTGGTATTCTTGTCTTCATTTTACAGAATAGGCAACTGAGAAAAGAAAGTCACATGCCCATAATCACATAACTAGGAAATATCAGAGGTAGGATTTGAACCTAGGTCTTCCTGACTCTGCTTCTAATTCTTGACCACCGTTGACAATCCCCAGTCAATTAAGTGCATTGGAAAGTTACAAAATAAAGTGCAGTGATAGAGTCCAAGAGGGAAGCTCATTGCCAGATTCTATACCACAGGACCCCAGGTATTGAGTTGGAAGCTTGCTCATTTTGCAGATGTGGGGAATCAGGGAAGGCTTTCTGGAAGAGTTGACAATTGAATTGGGCTTTAAAAGATGAATTGGAATTCAGTAAATGAAGAGAGGTAGTTCCAGTTTGTCTGGAGCATAATATAACATTCAGGGAGGAGACTAATATGAGGCAGGGCTGGAGAGGCCAGCACTCCTAAGATCTTAGTTCTAGAGCTGGAAGGTACCTTAGAGGCCATCCAAATCCACCCCTCATTTGATGGATGAGGAAACTGAAGTTCAGACAGTTCAAGTGATTTGTCCAAGGTAATGCAGCTAGTAAGTGCCAGAGCCAGAATTTGAACCCAGGTCCTGTTGATTCCAAATTCATCACTCTTTCCCTGAAACCACATAACCTTCCTTTCAATTCCAATCTTTGTGATTTTTTGATTTTGTGATCTGTCTGTGGTGTTGGCAGATGCCTTACGACAGAGCAACCACATGCTCCGGCAGCGTTATCAAGAGTTCCTGAACTTCCAAGCCAACCAGAAGGAGGAGAAGGAGTTTCTCATGAGAAAATTTCAGGAGGCTAGGAAACTGGTGGAGAAGCTAAACATGGAGAAGCTGGAGCTGAAGAGACAGAAGGAGAAGGCGCTGCAGGAAAGCGAGCAGGTACTGAGGTGCTAGGACGGGGAAATCTGGGCTCTTAAAGGAAAGTCTGAGGCACCCCCTGCCCCAAGCCATCTGTGGAACCCAGAATCAGCTCAAGAAACTTGGCCTTGGCTCTAGGCTAATTCCCCCACTCCTCTTATGGTTGTGAAGGAACTATTGTCCTTGAAGCATTCTGATTCTTCTCAGTGTGGTGCTAAACATGGGGGGAATGGGGAGAACCCTAACAAGGATCTTCAGGATGTTCCCTGAGGTGGTAAGGACACTGGGAGGGGTTAGGCCTAGTTGAGGAATGGGGTCCAGGGCTCTCTGGAAGGCTTTGGAGCAGAGATGGTGCTTTGGGGCATGGAGTCTGAGCTGAGAGGGCATGGTTTTTTGTAAACCTTCCCATTGGTTCTTGTTAACCAAGTGGTGGGGCTTGCTTTTTGTTTTTGTTGAAAGATTTATTTGTACTTAGGGAATTAAATGCTAAAGGGGAGTGTGGGATGTTTTGAGTGTCTTTTCCTAGGAGGGGATCACTGATATCTTACTAGTCGTCCGATCTTTTCAGGTTGGTAAACCCCAGCCTTCAGATAGTGCTCCATTTAGTTAGTGTTGACCTGGAATGGCTTCTAAATGTGCTTGGTAAGGAGTCACCTGCACCCAGAGGGTGGTGATCTATTGTCCAAAGCTACTTTGAGGCAGCATTAAGTCAGGAAGACTTGGGTTCTAGTCCTGGATCTTCCATTTGTGCCTCTTAGTGCCCTAAGTGACTCTCTCTTTTGTGCCACTTATGGGGGAGTTGCAAATCTGCATTGGTGGAGTTCTCCAAGGTGCTGAGGTCACAAGATTGAAAGTTGGATGATGGTTGTTGTAATTTATTAACAAGGCACAGCATAGTAACTTAGATGTGTAAAAATGTCTGCCGAATTGAAGGTTTAGCTCCATTCAGGGATGTGACATTTTTGATAGGCTATTTGATTTAAAGTAATTTTTGCAACCCAGGAAGGAAATTTACAGATGGGGACGGGAGGTCCATTCTTTCTCTAAATCCTATGGTTACCACCTCTCCTCCTCCCATTTTATAGATGGGAGAACTGAAGCCAAGGGAGGTGAAGAGGCTTGCTTAAAGTCATGGAGCCTTGGTGTGGAGGTTGACTACCCCCTGTGACTGGCCCAGGCTTTGATGATGGCCCACTGACCTTTCTGATGTTTTTAAACATTAAAGTAGAGCTTTGCAGACTCTTCTTCCCCCATTGAGCTTTCTAGCTCACTGCACTAAGAATAGACCAGCTTTATGTGAGGAGGCAAGCACTGCTGTTCTCCTGAGCAGGCCTTGTGGGTGGAGACCAGGGCTGCAGCATTATCCACAAACTCTCATTAGGTACTTCTGGGTGTAGGGCCCTGGTCCTGGGACACAGAGGTAGAAGACTGTAGTCCTGGCCTTAGAAGGACTCTAGGTCTGGTCTAGGAGATTCAACAAGGTCTCGCTGTACCAAGGTAGCATCTGCTAAGTACTATATAAGGTCAAAGGGGCTCAATAGTACTGTACAGAAAGGCCACTAGGGGGCACGACAGTGCACAGAGTGCCTGTAGACCTGGAGTGAGGCTTAAGGTCAAATCAGCCTCAGACACTTCCTGCCATGGGACTCTGTGAAAGTCACTTAACCCTTCTTTGTCTCAGTTTCTCCATCTGTAAAATGAGGATAATAATAGCATCTACGTCCCAGGGTTGTTGTGAGGATAAAATGAGATAAGATTGGTAAAGTACATTGCAGACCTTTCCATTTCCATTCTAAAGTGCCACAGAAGTGCTAGCTGTCATGATGGAGCTGGGTTTGGGTTCTTCCTGGGTTTTAGGCCTAGTTACCTGCCACTATTTGCATCACCTTGGGCAAGTCCCTTCTCTCTGGGCCCATTTTATCTCTGAAGGGATTACACTAGATGAGCATAAAGCCCCTTCCAGTTATTTATTTTTTAGTTTTAGATTTTTATTCTGAACTTAAACACCAAAAAAGCAGCATTTTCCATATACCCAGTAGAATGCAAAAAAGAAGACTGATTGTGAAATCATGAATCTTCATTTCATGCTGATTGCTTCAAAAATGTATGTGTGTATATAAAAAAATCCATATTACTTTCAAAATATTTTGGCTTGTCTGCTTCCTTCTGTTCTCTTTTGTGCATTAAAAAAAATATTTCAGTGGCTCTCTCTTTTTTTTTTGCATCATTACTGCTAACTCCTGCCCCTCAACCCCTCGTAACATAGTTTTTAAGGAGCTATTTTCTTTGGTAATGTTTTTATACCTCTTTTACCATTTGGCCAATTCTGATTTTATGGAGTTATTTTCTTCAGTAATGTTCTGTACCTCTTTTACAAAGCTGTTAATTCTCTTCTTATAACTTTCTTCCATAGCTCTCATTTCTTTTTCCGTTTTTCCCTCTACTGCTCTTATTTGATTTTTAAAATAACTTTTTTTGCTCTTTTAAAAAAGTCTTTAAGGAATTCTTATTAGACTAGTGTCCCAGCTGTATTTTCTTTGGGCCTTTGCTTGTTGATATTCTTAATTCATTGTCTTCTTCTGTCTTGAGTTTCCTTATTACTGTGGTAGCTCTTTATGGTCAGGTTCTTTTTTTGTTGTTTGCTCATTCTTCCAGCCTCCTTCCTCACTTTGGACTTGATGTTAGAGCTGGACTCTGTGCACTTCAGTGGGGGCTGGGGGGAATGTCTGGCCTGGGTTTCTGTCCTCTTCCATCCTTCTGCTGCTTTCACAGCTCTGGTGAGATCTGGGGTGAGGTCTGTTCACTGCCCTCCTAGTCTGTGCTCTGCAAGTTCCTGACCCAGGCTTGAGTCTATTGAGTTGTCCCTGGTTGGGAATTTCAGCAGATAGTTCCTGGACTCAGTCACTACTGACATGCTGGGAGGCTCCCCTTTGGTTTGGGACTCCTGCCCTGGTTATCCCACTGCAGGCTTATGGTACTGGGTAAAAGGCTAGAAATGAGTTGCTGCTCTGCCCCTGGGATCAGAGCCACACAGGTACATTTCTGCAACATGTTCCTTGCTCAGTACACAGCTGATGCCCACACTCATGACCACTCCTCTCTGCCTTGGATCTGACACCTAGAATTGGGTAGTGGCTATAGAGGTGCTAGATGGTCCCTGTTCCTGCACCCAGTGTTAGTTCAGGGACCCCCTGGGATCTTTTTCTGTCTTGATGCTTCCTGCCCTGGTGCCCTGTCTGGGCCCTCAGGCCCATCAGTCCTTGGGCACTGGAAAGCTTGCTGCAACTGTTGCTGGGCTGTGCTCCTGACCAGCCCCTGCCCCAATGTCCACAGACCTCTCAGAGCTCTCCATCTAGCTTCCTAAGCTGCCCTGGGCTGGTAAAGTGACTCCCTGTGATTTTTTCTGGGCTTTCTCCATTCAGAATTCAGGCTGGCACATTTTCTAGATGTTTGTCGAGTCTAGTTCTGTCTGGTACAAATTTCAGGGTTTTCCTAGTGTAGGCATGTTGGAGCTGGGAGTCTGCCCAGGCATTTTGCCCTGAAGTCTACTCATTCTAGTTAATAACAATTTCTGAGTAATGGTAAATAAGGCGGGATCAGGTTGTGGAGGGCTTCAAATGCCAGGCTAAGGGGCTTGGGCTTGTGTTGTAACTAGTGGGAACCATTGACCATTTTTGACCTGAGAATGAGAAGTGTATGGAAAGAGCCCTGGGTGATAGTCATTGCTTTCTCTGGGATTCACAAAAGTCTGTCAGTGCAGCCTGGTCTCTCTAGCATGGCCTGTCAGAATAAATGGGCACAGCGATGTCCTGGTTAAACTCTCTACACCATCATCAGCATGTCTGGTCTTGGCAAATCTTGGCCATGAAATGAGATTGGGCTTGGTTAGCATTTTACTAGAATCTTGCCTGAGCATCTCGAGAGTGGCAGGTCTTGAAAGGTAACCCTGAAGTCCCATCTAATTCAGAGTTTTTGGTTTTATGAGGGTCAGATCCCAGGTGAGATGGAAAGAGAGGCTTTGAGGACCCTGAAGGAGCAGCTAGAAGAGCGTTTGCGACACTTTCAAGAGGCCAGTGAAAGCCTCCAGAAGGAGAAACAAGTCCTTCTTCTGGAGAACCAGGAGCTGAGGAAGAAAGCAGCTCAAGGCCAAGCTGGGGAGACCCAGCTGAAGATGAAGGTAACTTGTGAGCACGTGGGGCTGAGGAGGGCCCAACTGCTCCTTCTCCTTCTGGGAGTGATGCTGGCCTGAGTGGCAGGAGCCCAGAGTTCTAGCCTTGGCTCTGCCACTCACCAACTGGTAATCTTGGGTGAGTTTTCACCTCTCCTCTTAGAGAAGCAATGGTGTTGAACTAGATGATCTCCAAGTTTCCTTCCTGCTCTGGGATTCTAGGGTTCTTGTATAAATTCACAGAATTTAGTTCAGTGATCATCTAGGCCAGTGCTGGGCTTGTTGGGCCCCCTGCTACATTTTATAGTTATAAATACGATAAAACTTGATTTACAAATGTAAAAGCCATTCTTAGGTGGGAGGATTTGCTCCTTGGGCCCTAATTTGCTGACCCTTGACCTTAACCATCCCATAATTGTAAAGATACTATTCATTCCACTGTCAGACAAATAAACTCTAGCTGGAGTGGCGCAACTCTGAATCCAGTCAGAATTAGAGAGTTGGAAAGGACCTCAGTGACTACCTGGTCCCACTCATACACTTACAGTGCCCTATAACACACTTACCAAGTGGTTATCCAGCCTGTGCTCAAGGACCTCCAAATAGGGCAACTCAGCATCTCTTGAGGCAAGCTGTTTTGCTTTGTAACAACTCCAATTGTTAGACAGTTTTTCCGACGTCAAGCCTAAATTGGACATCCCTTTCACCCGTACCCCAAAATCGTTCCTGGCTCTGTTTAGAGCCAGACAGAACAAGTCTAGTCCTTTCTCCACAGAACAGCCCTTCAAAATACTTGGCCCCTGCTCTTATGTCCCTCTGAGCCTTCTCTTCTCCAGACTAAATACAGCCAGGTGAGGGACTTAAGACCCTCCCCTATCCTGATAGCCCTCTTCTAGTTCATTTCTAGCTACTGAACATAGCACTCCAGATGAGATCTGACAGGGGCCAGAGATAGTGGCATTATCCCCTCCCTATTCTGTAAGCTCAGTCTCTTCTTAATAATGCAGTGGCCCAGGATGCACTTGGCTCTTTGTGATTGTCCCAGCTGACTCACACTAAGCTGGTGGTCCCCCATAATACCCCTTGGCCCTTTTCACAATAACAGCTTCTTTCTATGCCTCCTCCCTATTCTGCCTGAAAAGTCAATAGACAAAGACTTCATGTTTATCCTTGTTGCATTTCACTTATTAGATTTGGCCAAGCCCTCTGGCCTGTCATGGTCCTTTTGGATCCTGACCCTGTCAGCCAGTGTGTTGGGTGTCATCTGCAGATTTAAGGAGTGTACACTGTCTATGACTTTAAGCCATTGCTTAAAAAGTGATCTGAGTTACTCTGGGAAAGAGAGGGAGGGAGTGCAGAATAGTGATCCTGTCTGAGAGTTTAGTAGGAGTTAGCTTATGTCCGTGCAGTGTCAGGTTTGTCCCCAGACTCAGGTGCGTCTCCCAGAGAAGACTCCCTCCTTTTGGTAACTAGGAACAGCCATGGTACTTGCTCTGCACAGAGTCTGTTTCAGCCAGGGGTAGATCTGGTTCTGGGAGAGGGAGACCAGATCTGCACATCACTCAGACATTGCTTACCATATATGCGTGCCTACTTATGTGAAGCCTGGTTTTTTCTCTTTGGCATTTCAGGACTGTGGGATCCAACCACAAAGACTGCTGGAGACAGAATCTCTGCAAGGGGCAAGTGGCAGGTTAGCATTGCTGTATTTTAGGGTCATCTGCTTTCTCTCGTATTGTTTTTTGATTGGAATCATCTCCAAAGTGACCTGTCACAGCCTGTTTCTGGGATTTGGAAGGGGTTTCACAGTAGAACAGCAGGGCTTTATTATAGCAAATATAATTTTCCTAAGGAGAGGCTTCAGGTTTCAAACAAGACAGCAGGGAGGGGGATGGAAAGGGGCAATGAGGGAAAAGGGATTCCGGGCAAAAATGTACTTCCTGGGCTCGGTTGCCTGAAGGTGGCAGACGTTGCTGTAACCCAGTCCACTTTGGGCCATAGTAGGAATGGGATTGAGGGATGGCATTACTGGTTACCTGGAGTTGGCACACCCAAATTAATTTCATTCATTTAGTTTGTTTAATAAATTTTTATTAAGTGCTTACTATGTGCCAGATTGGGACTACAGAAAGAGGCAAAAGAGAGTCCTTTCCTCCAAGGAGCTTACAGTCTAATGGGGAAGACAGCAGGCAAACAAATAGATAGAAAACAAGCTGTGTACAAGGTAAATAGGAAATAATTAACAGAGGGAAGGCACTAGAAGGGGTTGAGGAAGTTGAAGGAAGTCAGAGAGGTCAGTAGTCATAGAGGAGGAAGGGGGAGTGTGTGTGTGGAGCTGAGAGATGAAGTATCTTGTTTGTGCAGTGTCACTGGATCAGAGAATACATATAAGGGAGACTAAAGGGAAGAAGGGGCTAAGTTATGAAGGGCTTTGAATGCCAAATGGAGCGTTTTGTATTTGATCCTGGAGGTGATAGGGGGCCCCTGGAGCTTATTGAATAAGGGGGGCCAGAGTGGTGACTTGATCAGACCTGAACTTTAGGAAAATCACTTTAGTGGCTGAATAGAGCATGGGCTGGAGGAGGGGGAGGCTTGAGGCAAGCAGTCTTGGGGTGAAGGTGAAGAGGGCCCTGCACTAGATAGGCAGCAGTATCAGAGGAGAGTAGAGCGTGTATTTGAGAGGTACTGCAGAGATAACGTCGGCAGACTTTGGTAGGAGCTTGGATATATTGGGTGGGTGGGGGAGAGTGAAGAGTGCAGGATGAATCAGGTTGTGAGCCTGAAGAACTGGAAGCATGGTGCTGCCCTCTACAGTAATAGGGAAGAGAAGGAAGATAGGGGGAAAGATAATGAGTTCTGTTTTGGACATGTTGAGTTTGAGATCTCTATTGGGCATCCAGATTGAGGTGTCTGAGAGGCCATTGAAGATGGGAGGCTTGAAGTCAGCAGAGAGATTGGGGCAGGAAAAGTAGATCTGGTGGTCATTCTGTCCATGGGAGCCAATGAGATCCCCAAGTGACATAGGATAGAGGGAGGAGAGAAGAGAGTCCAGGACAGAACTTGAGGGACACCTATGGTTAGAGGGTGTGATCTGGAGGAGGATCCGGCAAAAGAGACAGAGAAGGAGCGGTCAGAGAGGTAGGAGGAGAACCAGGAGAGAGGGATATCCCCAAGACCTAGAGAGAAGAAAGTGTCCAGGAGGAGAAAGTGATCGACATTGTCCAAGGCTGCAAAGAGGTCAAGCGCAAGGATTGAGGAAAGGCCGTTTGATTTGGCAACCAAGATCATGTGTAACTTTGGAGAGAGCAGTTTCAGTAGAATGACGTGGTTGGAAGTGAGATTGTAAGGTGTTAAGAAGAGAGCGAGAGAAGAGAAGTTAGAGGCTCTTATTGTAGATGGCCTTTTCAAAAAATTTGACCCTAAAGGGCAAAAGAGAAATAGGATAAGAGGAGAATGGATCGATCAAGGGAGGGTTTTTTCAGGATGGGGAGACATAGGCATGTTTGTAGGCAGTAGGGAATGAGCCAGCAGACAGGGAGAGATTGAAGATGAGAGTGGAGAAAGAGGGACAGAAGGCACCTGAGTGATAGGGGATGAGAAAATGAGGGAGGAAGAGGGAGTTCATGGTGAACAGTCTTGATTTTTTCAATAAATGTGAAGCAAGGTTCTCAGCTAAGGGGGGGGGCGGCAGGGAGCCATGGCAGGTTCTGTCAAATTCTCACTTTGTCTCAGATGAATGGACAGTGGTCTTGTGCAGATGCCCGAGTCATTTTCTTCCTATCCAGGTAGCTCTCTGAGGCCATTAAAGGCTGTGGCTTTAGATAAAAATAATTTTCATTTTGTTAAAACAAGGTTTTTTAATTGATATGTTTTTGGTTTTATATCACCTACATTTTCTGATGTCTCTCTTCTCCCTTTTTGTGAGAGCTGTCCCTGATAACAAGGGATAAGGGGAACAAAGCCAGTTACACAGAGCTAATCAGCATATTGAAAAAGTTGGATGGTACATGCAGTATTCCACATCCATAGTCCCCTACCTCTGCGAAGAAGTAAGAGAAGGTAGAAAGCCAGAAACCAATGTAAGGCTGGCTGGGAAATGCAAGGGATTGGCCATTTTGAGAAACCCAGAAACAGAATCCAAGCACGAAGTGGAATAAGCATTGATTAAGTGCCTAAATATGGGCCAGTCACTGTGCTAAATGTTTCACAAACAATATCTCATTTGATAATTACATGGCGGGCATGGAAACTTCCAGCAGAGGTGAGAGCAGAACATAGGTGAGGTCTAGAAGTGCCAGGTTTGGGGAGTTAGTGGATGGGCCACTGGCACCCCCGAAACCCCTTTCACATTCAGGCTATTGGCTGTTCCCTGTTGGTCGTAGATGAGGATTGGAGCTGGAGGAAAGACCCTTCTAGCACCTCTCCTCTTGAAAGGGGTGGGTGAGCCAGCTCAGCTTCTGGCAGCAGAAAGCTGGCTTGGGTCCTGCTTCTTTTGCCAGGACTTCATTGCCTCAGGGGCAGCTGGGGGGTACCACAGTACACAGATCTCTGGTCCTGGAGTCAGAAGACCTGAGTTCAGATGTGACCTCAGACACTGACTAGCTGTGTGACCCTGGGCAAGTCACTTTGCCTCTGACTGCTTCAGTTTCCCTGTCTGTAAAAATGGGAATAATTATAGCATCTCCCTCACAGGGTTGTTGGGAGGATCAAATGTGAGGATATTGTAAAGTGCTTAGCATAGCACCTGTCACATAGTAGGTGTTTAAATAAGTGTTTGTTTCAGGGGCAGCTAGGTGGTACAGTGGATAGAGCACCAGCCCTGGATTCAGGAGGACCTGAGTTCAAATATAACCTCAGACACTTGACCCTTACTAGCTGTGTGACTTTGGGCAAGTCACTTAACCCCAATTGCCTCACCAAAAAAAAAAGTTTGTTTCTCCCTCTCCCCCCACCCCCTTTTCTGAGAGGGATTCCAAGCATACAGGGCTCATAACAGCTTTTCCTTCTTGTATTTTTCTTTTAGTGGTAGGAGTGAGGATTCAAACAACTTGCTGAAGAAGAAGATGCAGGATGTTGAGAATGAGTGAGTTGTTGGTACAAAAGCTCCAGAGGTTTTCACCCATTCAGTGGGACAGTCACCTGTGCTGGGTCTGAAAGACACCTCTGTCCTGCCCTCTCCTGCCATGCCCTCTCTCTTTGGTCTTGGATCCCCTGGTGCTTTTTGCCCCATCATGCCCAGCAGTCCTTGTCATGGTGCAGGCCAGCAGGGTTCTAGGCCAGCCTTAGGACACCTTGACTCACTGCTGAGCAGGGAACAGCCAGGGATTGCCTTTTCTAGGAACACGGTGCTGAAGCAGGAGCTGGCGTCCCTGCAGGGCAAGGTGGCCCAGTTGGCAGTGAGGGAAAAAGATGTGGAGAGGAGGGCCGAGCAGCAGTTACAGGCCCTGAAGAGGCAGTTGGAGGTGAGGAGGAACTATGATTGGCACCTGAACTAAGGGTCTCAGGGCTGCCTAGGCTCAGTGGCACTAGAACACTTAGTGCCCTGGGGCAAGTAAAGGGGAAGAAGGGAAGAGACAGAGGAGGGAGAGGCAGCGGTTCTGGGACGCCCGGCCTGGGCAGAGGGGAGCGAGAGGCAGTGGTTCTGGGACGCCTGGCCTGGGCGGAGGGGAGGGAGAGGCAGTGGTTCTGGGACGCCCGGCCTGGGCAGAGGGGAGGGAGAGGCAGCGGTTCTTGGGAAGCCCGGCCTGGGCAGAGGGGAGCGAGAGGCATGGTTCTGGGAAGCCTGGCCTGGGCAGAGGGGAGCGAGAGGCAGCGGTTCTGGGAAGCCCGGCCTGGGCAGAGGGGAGGGAGAGGCAGCGGTTCTGGGAAGCCCGGCCTGGGCAGAGGGGAGGGAGAGGCAGCAGTTCTGGGAAGCCTGGGGGGCAGCATGATGGGATGGCAGCAGCAATACTGGATTTAGCATCACAGAACCTGGGCTTGAATTCTGTCCCTGACCTTGATTCAGTGACTTTCCAGGATTATAGATTTGGAGTGTAGAAGTGCTCTCGTTGAATACCACTATAGATGAGGCCATTGAAACCCAGAGAGGAAGGGGCTTGCCTACGGTCATCTGGATAGTAAGTAGCACAGTGAAGATCTGAACCCAGCTCTTCTGACTGGGCCTCAGTTTCCTGACATGTTAATTGATGATATCCGTGGGCCCTTTTGATCCAAAGTCCCAGCATTTCATCACATCCACACATTCCCCAGAGGCTTCCTGTGTGGAAGGCCAGGGCCTGTTGCTCTGGGAGCTGCATAGATTGAAGATTTTGTACCGTCTCACACTCTTGGAGTGCAGAACGAGGCATGTGCCCGAAGAGCTCGCTAGGCAGATAAAGCAGCATAGATTTGGGGCTGAATCAGTGAGGGTTCCAGGAGCTGCCCACGTGGATGTTGGGCCTCCTCAAACTGGAGCCTTGAAGGATGGGCCTGGAGGGGAGAGCTGTGTGGTGCCAGGTAAGGATGAGATAAGAGGTATTTCATTTGGCAGACATTTCTTAACCTGCCTGACATGTCAGGGGAGACAAAAAGACCAATAAAACTTGATCCCTGTTCTCCTGTACCTTTGACCCTAAACAGGAAGATGAGACATGTTTACAAGTAACCGTAAAACAAGACAAGAATTCATGCAGGCCACACTTTAACTGGGGCCTTGAGTACATGAAAAGAAGCTGGGAGAAATAACAATAATGTTTATATTGCACTCTAAGGTTTGCAAAACGCTTTTGCAATTATGTTCTTATTTGATCATCATGACAACTCTGGGAGTGAGCTATTATGACTTCCATTTTACGGATAAGTTTACTGAGGAAGGCATAGGTTAAGTGATTTGCCCAGGGTCTCACAGCTAGGATGTGTCTGGGCCTGCTGCTCTGTGCACTGTGGTGCCCCCAGCTGGAAAAGTAAGTTGGAGGCTGATTGTGGAGGGCCTTGAATGCCCAGACTCACAGATTTGGATGTTATTTGAGAAGCAGTGCGGGGAGGGGTGGTGGCATTGAAAGTTTTTTGAGGAAGGAGAATGACATGATGATAGTTGTCTGGCATTTGTGTGTAAATTAACTTGGTGGGGGCAGCTAGGTGGTGCGGTGGATAGAACACTGGCCCTAAAGTCAGGAGGACCTGAGTTAAAATCCAGCCTCAGACCAAACAATTGACACTTACTAGCTGTGTGACCCTGGGCAAGTCACTTAACCCCAATTGCCTAAAAAAAAAAAATCAGGGGAGCCAACTGAGGCAGAGAGAGAGTTTGTGTACCTAATGGCGGCACAAGCAAGAGGAGGGCTGGTGGAAAGAGGATTACCTGAGGTGGCCCTGGGGGTGTGGTGTTCATTGATAGCCCCCCACTCTCTGTCAGGCTTCTGGTGTTGCCATGCAGAGAAGAGGGGCTGGGCCTGGCTGGAAGGGGGAGACCACATTTAGCCATGTTGAGCTCCAGGTATGGGCAGGATGTCTGCTGTGGAGAGCTAGCCAGGAGGGAGCTGGGATGAGAATCTAGGGCTTCAGGAGAGCGTAGGCCTGGAAACTCTGGGAGTCATCCACGTAGAGGTGGTCAGCAAAGCCCAGGGAGGCAGAAGCATGAGGACTGAGCTTTGGGGGATGTCTGTGTTAAAGGGAGGTGAATTCCAGAGAAGGAAGTCATTTTCTGTTAGCATCATAAGCTTTGCTAGACTTTGAGCTCCACGAGGGCAGGACTCTATCTAAACTTTGTATCTCTTCCAGTCTTTAGGGATCCACTACAGTCAGCCCCTAATGTTTATTGAATATATGTTTTGTTAAATTGAGAAGAAATGGGCAGAGAGTTAGGGTTACAACAAGGAGAAGACAGTGTCCTTGCCTCCAAGAGAGGAGCAAATATTAAGTGGAGGAAGAGGAGCAGTGACCAGCTCCAAAGGCTGCCCGGAAGTCCAGGAGGTCGAGAATTGAGAAAAGGCTCCCAGTAGTGGATTGGGACTGAGTTGTGTGGGGGCTGGACACCAGATGGCCAGGAGTTGATTCATGCTTGGGTGCAGAGGGAATAGAGCCAGCAATGAGCGCCCCTTCTATGGAAGGGGCAGGGAGGTGGGCCCAAAGAATCTGTGGAAGATTTTCTTAGGACAGGGCCGACTTGAGCATCCATCCTTTGTCCATCTGCCAAAGCAGTTCTCCCAAATTGCAGACTTGACCATGTTGCTCCTGACCCAGGGGTGGGGAACCTATGGCCTTAAGGCCACATGTGGCCTCTAGGTTCTTGGGTGTGGCCTTTTGACTAAGTCCAAGTTTTACAGAACAAATCCTTTTATTAAGGGGATTTGTTCTGTGAGGTTTGGATTCAGTCAAAGGGCCACACTTGAGGACCTAGAGGGCCACAGGTTGCCCATCCCTGTACCTGTCCTCAAACTCCAGGGGCTCTCTGTTAATTCATAGGTGACATACATTGTTTTCTGACATTGAAAGCCCTTTACAATCTGTCCCCATCTTTTCATTTTGGGAGTACTAATTCCATTTTTAATTTTTCGTTCTAAACTTGGGGAAATAAGGGTGTGGTCAAATTTCATTGCCAGGATGCTGGGATTCCTGCTTCTGGTTTAACACACAGGCCTTGTAAGAACAGCAGAGGCCTGACATGTAGTCGTTGTCTTTTTCCCTGCAGCAACTGACGGAAGACAAAGGATCTGTGAAAGCCCAGGTGACCTCACTGCTCGGGGAGCTGCAGGAGAGCCAGAGCCGCCTGGAGGTTTCAAACAAGGACAAACAAGTCCTAGAGGACCGGTATGGAGGGGGACACCAGGCTTGGGCCAGGGCTGCCTTCTCTTCTACTATCCTACTTCGCTTGGGGATATCATCAGCTCCCACGGATTGAATGACCATCTCTATACTGATAATTCTCAAATCTACCTTTCCTGCCCTAACCTCTCCTTTCACCTCCAGTCTTGCATCTCCAACTTCCTTTCAGACATCTCAGACTGGATGTCCAGTAGACATCTGAAATTCAGTGTGTCCCAAACAGAACTCATTATCTTTTCCCCTAAATCCTCCCCACCTCCTGTCAGTGTTGAGGGCAACACCTCCCAGTCTCTCAGGCTCCTAACTGAGGTGTCATCCTTGATTCCTCATTGTCTTTTGCCGCCCCCTCCCACCCCCTCCATAGCTAATCTGTTGCTGAGGCCTGTCCATTTCACCTCTATAGCGTCTCTTGAATACGCCCTCTTTTTTCCCTCTAACATGGCCCCCACTCCAGTGCAGGCCCTCATCACCTCCCACACAGACTACTGCAGTAGCTGCTGAGGGGTCCTGGGACATTCGGCCACTAGGGTGATTGTTCTAAAGCTCAGGGCCAATCCTGTCATATCCCCTCCTTCCCCCCCCCACGCCCAGTAAACTTCAGTGGCTCCTTAGTACCTCCAGGATCAAAGACAAAATGTTCTGTTTGGCATTCAAAACCCTTCCACAAGCTGCGCCAGTCTTAGATCTCACGCCCACCCTCCTGTGTATTCTTTGATCTAATGGCAGTTGGCTTTCTTGCGGCAGGACCCTCCCTTTCCCAACCCTGGGACTTTTCTCTGGCTGGCTGTTCCCCCTGCTTATAACATGCTCCCTCCTCTGCCTCCTGGCTTCCCAGGCTTCCTTCAAGGCCCAGCTAAAATTCCCCCTTCTACAGGAAGCCTTTCCTCATCCCCTTAATTCTGGTGCCTTCCCTCTGGTGATTATTTCCAGTTTCTCTCTACAAAGCTTGCCTTGTATCTATTTGTTTGCATGTTGTCTCCCACGTTAGACTGGGAGCTCCTTGAGGGCAGGGCCTGTCTTTTGTCTCTTTTTGTATCCCCAGGGCTTGGTGCAACACCTGGCACATAGTAGGTGCTTCATAAAAGTTTATTGACTGATTGATTAGCATACTTCCAGGAGCGCAAGGGCCTCTTCATTTTAGCTAATTTAGAACTGTCAGATAAGACTGGGGCATTATTGCTGAGTTTATATATTCATATATTCATAATCATATTCATGATGATAAATTCCTCACAGCAAAGTAGATTTCCACCAAAGAGAAATTAGGGGATAATTATTTTCTTCATAAAAAAAATTGCTTTACAGGAGATTCATCAAAAGTACTTAAATTGCAAGTTCCCTTAGGACATTCATTTCTGACTTAATCATTTTTTTCTGTGGCAGGTGAGGAGAGATCTGAGTGATGCCTCAAACAACATCCTGAGGCCTGGAGCAAGGAATTCATTTCTCTCTTATCCTAGCCTCCTCCTCCATAAAATTGGGTTAGAGTAGATGATCTCTCAGGCCAGTCCTCTCCTTTTCCAGAGGAGGCCTTTGGAGCCCAGGGGCATGAAGTGAGTTTACAAAGGTCTTAGATCCCAGAGGTGGAATCAGAGCCCAGGTCCACTGAGTTAGGAATCAGGATGCATTCTTTGTACTGTGACATGTGGCCCCAAATGACAGTCACTTATAGACTGGTTATTTAAAGAGCCAGAGCAGAGTTAGCTGGGCTCTGTAGTTCCTCGCTTCTGCAGTGGCACTTGGATTGCAAATGTTAGAGCATTCTTTAGATTTGAGCTGTAATCAGAATTGCTGTTGGCCACACATAGAGCTGGGGGCAAGATAGCGATCACTACTCCCATGTTGTACAAATTGGGAAATATTGCTTCCAATATTTTTTAAAACAGAACGATATGAGATGTTAGGCCCATTGGTAAGTCCATCTCTGTGTGGGGTGGGACCCAGGGCCATGCCCTCTGTGCTTCTCTCCCATCTTCCCTGGCCCATCTCATGTCCAGGTAAGATCATTTGACTCTGACCGTCAAAGGCAGACCTGAAGAACAGAAGTTCTTGGGTTGGGCTGGGCGCTGTGGGTGTGGGAGCAGGCCAATTATGTGTGGGTATGCTAATTAGCAGCAGCTCTGACTATCCTTAGCCCACAGACCTGGCTGGGGATCATCCCATTCACTGTCGTCCTGCTCGACTTAGGGGGCTTGACCCAAGCTTCTCTTTCTCCCATGGCCCCTCACTGACTTTCTTTCTCTTGTCTTCCTGTGCAAGAGCCCGGGCAGCCACTGAGAAGGTCAAGCAGCTGGAGAGCGAGAATGAGCAGCTGCACAAACAACACAGTGTGCAGGTGGACCAGCTGCGCATGCAGACCCAGAATGTGGAGGCTGCCTTACGGATGGAGCGGCAGGCTGCATCTGAGGAGAAGTGAGCAGGGCATTGTTTTGGGTGCCATCTGCCATTTAGGTGCCCTTGGTGCAGAGATTGGGGAGGGGACTAGGGCAGTGCCCTGAGGCAGGATACAGTTTCTAAGGCTTCCCCAGGACCCCCATCAGAGCAGGCAGCAGCACACTGCCAGTTGTGAGCACAGGATACTGCTCCACTTGGTGTCAACCAAGGCCTGGCCCAGGAGCAAACCCAGCCCCATGAGCTCCTTCATGCTCTCCTTTGCTTCCTTGTCATCTTCATTCTTGGGTTCCTTGTTCTTCTTTTTCTCCCTTCAGCCTCCTCCCAGGCTTCCCCCCCCTTCCCCCCCCACCTCCCATCTTTAAGGGAAGTGGGTACAGTGGGAATACCCTGCTACACATGAAGAGAGTGTGATCCAGAAAAAGCTCCATTGGAGACTACTACCTTTTGTGAGCTTGAACAAGACTTTGGGCTTCTTCAAGCCTCACTTTTTTTCCCCCCATTTTTTTTGGAGGGGGACTAGGCATTGGGGTTAAGTGATTTGCCCAGGATCACACAGATAGTAAGTGATACGTATCTGAGGCCGGATTTGAACTCAGGTCCTCCTGAGTCCAGGGCCGGTGCTCTATCCATTGTGCCACCTAGCTGTCCCCAAGCCTCACTTTTCTCATCAATAAAATGGGGATAATGATACTTGCACTACCTAGCTCCTGGTTAGTTCTTGTAAGAAAAATGGATCGTTAAATCTGGAGGCAGTGTGTCATAGAAGAAAGCATTGGTTCTAGGTTCAAATTCCACTTCTGACACCTTCGTGATCTTTAGCAAAAGGTTATTTCTCCCTAGGCCTCAGTTTCCTCCTTTGTAAAATGAGATTGAATTAGATGGCCTCTGAGTTTCCTTCATAAGATCTGAGACTTATGATCCTAGTGCTTGCTATAAAGACATGAGGTGGAATGTTGATTACCTTGGAGGGGGGTGAGGTTGATAATAGCCCCAAATTGAACCAATAAGACATGCAGGCCACCAGCCTGAGTGATGGCTTAGTATGGATGTTAAATCAGGAATGTGGTATAGGTCTGTTTAGATACTATCTTATCAAGTGTTTTGGGAGAAGCAAGAAATCTGTTAGATCTTACCATTAGACAAAGCTCCTTACCTTATCCTTTTTTGGGAGGCCTCAGAGCAACAAATGAGCCTAATAAGAAATGACTCCCCAGTTTCCCACTTTACATGACTCAGTTCCCTGGTGATAGCCTACTTACTTCACAGAGACGACATGTTTCTAGTCAGTCAGTGGAAGGGAGATTTCTTCCCACCCCTGCTTATCAAAAAGACTTCCCTTCTTGCTTGGGCAGCAAGACTTCCCATTTGGGCAAAACATAAAGGAAGGAGCTTTTGGATGTCACCCTGAATGATTTTTGGGAAATCCCTGGGACCCCTTTTGTCTTTAAGTTTCTTCTTTCTGTCCTTCCTTTGCCATGCACTGACTGTTCAGTTGTTTTAGATGACTGTATGAGACTTCACATTGCTGAGAAGGTGCCATCCTACATTGGGAGAGGGTTTGCTCATTTAGCAGTTACCTATATTATTGAAATCACATGTTCAGTCTCTGTCCCTATCCCACAGTGCAGTAAAATTCCAGGACATTTACATTACCGATTTGTACTTAATCCCTAATTGATGGGCACTTACTTTGTTTCCAGTTTTTTTGCTGACATAAAAAATGCTGCTACAGATATTTTGAGGAAGTGCTCTCTTTGACAACCTGCTGCTTTCCCATAGTCTCTCTAACATTGGCCATTTCCATCTTTTGTCATCTTTGCTGGTTTGATTCTCCAAAACATTTTTATCCCAGGGAAATCAAGTGAAAATATCTCCTTAGTGCAACTTTAGAGAGATGTCTTAAAAGGGTTAAAATAGGAGCAGCTAAGTGGTGCAGTGCGATAGAGCTCAGCCTTGGAGCCAGGAGGACCTGAGTTCAAATCCAGCCTCTGACACTTGACACTTAACTAGCTGTGTGACCCTGGGCAAGTCACTTAACCCCAATTACCTCACCCCCCAAAAAAAGGTTAAAATGACCAAGGCTGGCAGCCCAAGTAGAAGAGGGTGTGTACCAGCTCCTGGCATTGCATTCTGTGCCTCCTACCTGTTTTTTTGCAGCAGCATGGAAGAGGACCCTCATTTGAGGTTGGTCTTATAGATGAAAATTGAATGGAGTCATTTTCTAGGAAGATCTTTTCTTTCCTTCACATGGTGAACAGGGAACATTGGAGTTAAGGCAGCTGAGTTCTGCTTCTGAAATGGGGCTTCTGGTCTTTTCAGGCGGAAGCTGGCTCAATTACAAGTGGCCTACCACCAGCTCTTTCAGGAATATGACAACCATATCAAGAATAGCCAAGCGAGCAGTGAGCGCAGTAGGGTGAGTACATACACAGTCAGCTGCTGTGCCTACTACAGGGCCATTCCACCCTGGCCTTCTCCAGTTTTAGGGCCTTAGAAATGCCACACCAGAAAGGGGCCTCCCCACAGCCCAGGGCCCCTCTTCCCCCTTCTTCACTGGCATGCAAGGGCTTTCACATACAGCAGCTTATGGGAAGTATGCCATGGTATATAACCATTTTATTGATGAGGCAATGGAGACCCAGTGAGGGGAAGACTTGCTGGGGCCCTGTGAATCTTTAATTGAAGATTGTCTTGCTTTCTTTCCCATTGCTGTTGGAGCCTTGATCTCCATTTTGGTCAATGATGAAGGGCTCCTTCTGCATGGGGTGTGTGGTGGGGCAGAGGACTAGCCTTCACAGTCTCTTGGGTCTTCATTGCTCCAAACTGCATTCTGTCATCCGGGAAATAGAGAAATGCTGGCCCAGGCTGCCTCACAGCTAAGTAAGAGTGACATTCAGAGAGTGATGATGGAAGGGCTGCAGCATACTTCCTCTCCATTCTTATTTGAGTCTCTCAACAGCTTGGGAAGAAGTTACTATTCTCATTTCCATTTTGCAGAATTCCAAGTGGAAGCCCAGAGAGGCAGTCAGTCAGTAAACATTTATTAAGCGTCTGCCCTGTGCATCTCTGTGGAAAGCACTGTCTCAGACTCTCAGTGCTGGGGCTGTATCTGGGGAAAAATGTGGGAAGAATTCAACTCTAGGAACAGTGCTAAAAGCAGAAGTTAAGATAATCTAGTGATTAGGAATCTGGAGGCCTCTGTACCTGTCTTATGAGCTCCCCACAGCTTGTTTCCAAAAAACTGAGAAGGTATGATTTTGTTTTCAAGTACTGTAATATAATCTAGGATGATATGTACAGAATGTCCCCAAAATCTAACACATACCTTTAGACCACACTAAGACTTTTGGGATACCCTAAGAGCAAAGTTAAAAAAAAATGGAGGTCTCTTCAGGATAAAAAGAGAAGGACTGACGTGAGAATTGGGTCAGAGGATCCTGGACCCTCGTAGGGCATTCTGGTCTGACAGGTCCTTTGGCCACTGGGCTGCTGTTAATGCAGCCGAATACAGGGTTTGGGGGGGATGTGGGCTGCTGTGTTATCATCTATTAAGTTTGCAGTCAAGTCAGACCCCCTCAGCTATTTTTCACATGAACTATTGTCTACCCAGGCCTTCCTCATCTTGTATTTGTGCAGTGAATATTTGGGGACTTTACGTTTTATTCCTGTCAAAGGTGGTCCAGTGTTGAGATCTTTTTGGATCTCATTTCTCTCATCTGACTCTTCAGTCTTAGCTTTGTACCCTCCTCAGCTTGCTTTCATGCAAGTCTGAGGAGCCTAGATTTAGAGTCGTCCCAGGGTTCATCTTGTCCAGGTTTTCCTCATTTTATGGATAACAAAACAACCCAAGGTCACATCTAGTAGGTGGCAGAGTTGGGAAGAGTTGTCACATAGAAATAATGTTCTAAGCAGAGGTCCAATTCTCTAGTAATATTGGCTAGATTATGGGCTTGCCAGTGACGTAGTGTGAGTGCCAGTGACCTTGAGAGGTTGTGCCAGGCAGAAACTATGAAAGGGTGCAGAGAGTATTTCCAGAAGTGCCTGGAGCCACAGTGGACTGAAAAAGGAGAGTCAGGGATTACAACCCCTCCCCTTCTTCCCTTAAAATCCAGGGAATTGAGAGAGAAAGGTTATAAATGGGGATGACCAGAATGGAATGGGACTGCTTTCCTTCATGTGACCCCTATCCTCTCAAAGGAGAGTCATTGTCCTCCCTCCAGTGCTCTAGAACTGGAGCAGCCTCCTAAGGGGACATAAGTTATCAAGTTGTGTCTGACTCTGTGACCCCATTTGGGATTTTCTTGGCAGAGATATTGGAGAGGTTTGCATTTCCTTCTCCAGCTCATTTTACAGAGGAGGAAACCGAGGCAAAGAGGGTGAAGTGACTTGCCCAGGGTCACACAACTAGTAAGTGTCTGAGGCTGGATTTGAACTCAGGTCTTCCTGACTTCAGGCCTGGCACTCTGTCCACTGCAGCGCTGCCTAGCTGCCCCAAGGGGACACGTACTCTGGTGTATTTGTTAAAAGCCAGTCTCATTGCTACCATGGAGAATGTACTGCAGAGAATGTGATCGTTTCTGTTCCTTGGTACATTTTGGGGTTTGCTGAGTGTGGCAGGTAATCCTGAGGACTCAGGAGGCTCCTCTCGACTTCTCTTTAGGGAATGGATCTTCAGTTGGAAGACCTCAATCAGCAGTTGCAACAGGCAGAAGAGGCCCTGGTAGCCAAACAGGAATTGATTGACAAACTCAAGGAGGAGGCTGAACAACACAAGACAGTGATGGAGACGATCCCGGTCCTGAAGGCACAGGTCAGAAGCTCCTGTCCATCGTAGGACAGCCAGCCAGCAGAGAGGAGTACGAAGGGGGTGGGGTGGGGTGGGTAATGGACTGAATGAGGAGGCACCTGTTAGTGTTTTCTGGCATCCTGGAAGGGCCCTCTCCAAGGCTGTGCCAGCAGGACCGAAGCCCAGGCAGCTCCTACCGAGCGGGGCCTGGTGTCAGACCAGTCTAAGTTCCAAGAGGCACCTCACTGGGACGGGCTTGGAGTGGATGTGGGTGGTCATCCAGACAGACCACTCAGAAGACCCCATTCTTCTGCCTCCAGGCTGATATCTACAAGGCTGACTTCCAGGCAGAGCGGCAAGCCCGGGAGAAACTGGCAGAGCGGAAGGAGCTTCTGCAAGATCAGCTGGAGCAGCTCCAGAGGGAGTATAACAAACTGAGAGTTGACTCGAAAGAAACCACCCGGTAAGTCGCCTGGCTTGGCTGGAGCAGAATCAAGAGAGACCCAAGCTGTGGCAAAGGCTTTTCTGCCTGTCTCTCATGCCCATTTGGTTACTCTAATATATCTTAAAGTATATGGGCTTGAGGTAGCAGAATACCTCATTAAGCATAGCTGGTTGGTTTCAGTTTGAGTCTAAGCCAGAGCTGGCTGACATCCAGCTGGATGAGAAGAAAGTTGGCCTTGCAGTAAGTTTTCAGGGGAATTGTAGTAGCACATTGGCTTCTGCTACAGAGAAAACGGATGGTAAAGAAGTAGAAACAGGAGAGAAATGATTTCACAACCCTGGGGTGAGGTGGGGTGGGGTGGGGTGGGTGGAAGGGAGGGACACAACTACTTACTAGTTTGTTTGCCAAGGGCTATGAACACAACTTTCTGCTTTCAAAGTATTGAAGATATGAGAAAACGGCATGTAGAGAACCCTCAGCCAGCTTTGCCCCAGCCAGGTAAGTCCCAAGTCCCTAGAACCCTTTAGCCAAAAATGTTGCGATTGTATAGAAGTTGAGGTGGAAAGGTTTCCTGTTCAGAAAGCCACAGCTTAGCAAGGGAAATTAGCTATTTGGGCTGTCTTATTGTTGTTCTAATGGGGCTGCACCTGCAGGGCCCATCTGGTAGAGCTGGGAATCTTTTCTGGCCTGTAGAGTGGGTGACTGGGCCCTATTTTCTGTCTGTGCAGAATTTGTCTGGGAATTTGTATGATGCACTGGGAGACAGGCCTTCTCTCCTATCCACATTGCCATCCACTTGGGTCAGGGGACTAGCTACTTAGCATAAAAAGTTTAGGGCCCCATGTTATAAGAGTGGTCTGGGTCCCTTTTGGCACAGGTACTTTGTTGTCATTTCCCTAACTCCCCACATATATATATATGTGTGTGTGTGTGTGTGTGTGTGTGTGTGTATGTGTGTGTGTAACTTGGTGGCAGTGACTAATAGATGTTTTCTTCTCTTAGTTCATCTTGTCAATCATCACCTCTCCTTTCATCCCATACTACCTGGCCAGAGGAGAAGTCTTCCGGATGAACAGCCAGATTTTTGTTGTCCGAAATGTCAGTATCAGGCCCCAGATATTGACACTCTGCAGATACATGTCATGGAATGTATTGAGTGATGCCTTTCCCACACAGCGATGTGGCCCAGCATAACCAAACCCACCCTGCCATACCCCATGCTTGTTTTTACTTGCCCAGCCCTTGATGATAAATCATTAGCAATTTCCATTTGATTGTAAGTTTAGAAGAGATGGTGAAATGGCCCTCTTTCATTTAGTGTGCTCTTTGCCTGACCTGGCTTGCCTGCCTTGCTGTACCTTATATGTTAAGTCCTTTCTGGAGCAGGAGCATCATAGAATTGAAGATCTAAAACTGGAAGCCATCCAGTCTGTCCCTCCCCGCATTTTACAGAGGAGAAACTGAGGCCCATGGAGGTTGTTACACAAATAATCGCCATCAGAGATAGCATTTAAATCCAGGTCCATTGACTCCAGCCTGCACTGCCTCCCAGTTTTGCCACCTTTCTGTTGGAACAGAGAGGCAGCTGGAGCAGGGCAGGGGATGCTACTGCCTGCCCCTCCTAGGCTATTCTTGCTGTAGGCAGGGAGGGACCCTTGTCCCTGGCTCTTGGGGAGAGAAGTCCAAGCATTAAGTGCCACTGGGGCCAGTCTATACTAGTTGCCATTTCTGTGGTGCTTTTAAGGTCTGAACCAGGCTTTACATGCTCTCTCATATTTGAGCCCTTCAGTACTCTTGAGGCTTAGGTATTATTTTTTCCCATTTTACACCTAGGGAAACTGAAGTTCAGAAATGAAGAGACTTAAGGGACCCAGGTTCTCCTGACTTTAGGTCCAGCATTCTAGCACATACCCCCCCTCCTTGGTAGAGATCAGTTGGTTATGCTTTAGTCCATGCTTGGGAAACATGCAGTCCATACCAAAGATTCAGATGTGGTATGATTCACTGTCATAGTGAACTGAGATTCTAGCACTTTTGTGTTCACTGGGTTGGTTTTCTTGCTATATTCAGACTTTTGTAACATGCCGCTTGTCCTGATTGTGATGCTTAAAACTTGTACTGAGTGTACTAGTAACTAATGTATAGTTACTGAATATAAAGACTTGCCATTCTTTCCCCCAACTTAGAATTTAGAGATTGGGTTCAGCTACACAGTGCTCACTCTACCTGTGCTAGACTTGATTTATCTTTTTCCCTGCCAAATCCCATTGGCCAAGTTTGTCAAAGCAGTCTTCTTCATTGCGCGCTTTAGTACAAATGCAACACCAATTCTAAGCATAATACTGAAATACTATTGGATTGGGGAAAACTAAACTAGCCTTTCATAAATTCAGGAGGCCTCTTTTACTACTTTTGGCTTTAAAAGGGCTAGGTCCTTCACCCCCTCCCCCCCTTGTCAAATTAAGTATAGTGAGAGCTTGGGTTTTTTTTTTTTAATCTCACATAATCTCCAGTAACTATAACTGAGAGACAATATGGGACAGTGGATAGATATGGGACAGTCTGGAGTCAGCTGGGTTCTTGTTCTGCCTCTAGCACGCAATTCACAATCTTCTCAGCAGCTCTGGAAACTCTAGGACTCAACCACAGATGGGTTGACATCTCTGTTGGTGAAGTTTCCACACTGGGTATTCTTATGCTGGTTCTAACCTGGCTCAACTCCTGATTGCAGACCACTTTTCTACCTCCACCCCAGTGGCCTCATATTAGAGAAGCCTTTGCTGCTTTGTAGGTTCCCCCCACTCCCTCCCCATCCCTGGCCACTGTGACTTAGTGGCAATATTCTCAACACAGGGAAAGAGGAGGAACTGCATTGAAAAACTTCTGTTATTTGTGAAAATCCATTAAATAACAATGGTGGGTAACATCTATAATTTTATTGTTTCAAGTGTGTACTTTTAGGTTCCAGGGCCATGCTGAAAGAATAGAATTCAGATACTGAGAAATGAGCCTTTATTGATTAAGTCACCAGGAATTGATAAGATTACATAAATTTAGCAAGGCCTGGGCTCTGGGAATCTGCTCAGCTTCTTCCAGCCCTCAAAGGGATTTAATGAGAGAAACATCATAAACAGAGCCAAGGCTTGTGCTGTTGCAGGGCCTTATTCCCCACTTCTGGACAAGTTGCTCAATTCTTGGCCAGAACAAGGAAGAAGTTTCAGGGGGGAAAAAATCCTGTAAATAATTCCTGAGCACACCATTACAGGTTTAGCAGAGTTCTTATTTTAGCATTATTCGATAATGATCTAAGTGGTTGTCAAAGTGTCCCTTATCTTCAATACATAACCTCATTTCTCATGTGAATCTGTTAAACCAAGTAAGCTTTCCAGGAACCCAACATGAGAAAAAATCCTTCAACAATCAGCCTCATCTTGCTTCTAGAAAGGAGAAATATGGGCTAGACTTAGCCATAAAGTAGAAAATGTGAAATATGATGAATTCATTTGTAAAAGCAGCTATTTTCCTTAATTGTCTCATTAGAATAAGTAGCTCAATCTAGCAGTAATTTTACTGTTTGACCAAGTTTCTTTGGAAATGTCCCCTTCCCCAAAACAAGTCATTAAGCAGTTAAGTCATTCATGACTGTTTCCAAAGGTCTCTGAGTTGTCATGATGAAGAGCCCCTCCCCGGGGCATCACTTCAATAATTCGTGGCTTGTCAATGATCCTGGCAGTCTGGTTGCCTTTTTCCACAATGCCGATAATCCATGCTTGATGACCCTCTCCGTATTTTGGAGACTTGATTTCAGCACAGAAGCGGGCTGCTTGTTCTCGAGGCAGACAGATTAGCAGCCCCCCTGTGGGCAACATCACAAAACACCTCAGACACAGAAGACCTCTCTACTTAAAAGCCAAACAGTGTTTCAGCCTCACTTCTAACCTAAGCTCTTCTAAAGTACCATTTGACCTCAATGGCATATCTACAAGTATGTTTCTTGTACTGCCATCACCATGGCTCTTGTGCAGGTCTAGGCCCTTGAAGGGAAAAGGGCTTTTCCCACCATGGCTGCTGTATCCAGCCCTCTCTAGGGCTGCACCTGAAGATTCTTATTCAGATGCCATTTGGCTTCTGCCCGTGGGAGGCCATCACTGATGTCTAATTTGATGCCACAGAGGTAGCATAAGTGATAAAGCATCTGTCCTACTGGAACTGAGAATGTGAGCTTCAGTGCCTTGTACTCTGGGTTTTTAAATACTTTAGAGGCTCACAGGGGAGATAGGAAGGTTCTAAATTTAACTTTCTATTGGGGTGGGGGAAAATGGTATAGCGATACCTGATACTGATTAGCACGAAAGACAAGAGCTTTTATCACCCACCTGAGGTTTCTGCTGATGTTCCTTGGAGAAGCCCAAAACGTCCACTGGCCTTACTGACAGCTGCCATCTTGGCAATAATGGGCAGATTATGAATGACAAAGGACACTTCATTCCTCTGTTGTTTTGCAAGGTTCCAAGCGTGTCCCAGGATTCCAAAGCCAGTAATATCAGTGGCTGCATGGGCGTTAAATGTGTGCATTAATCCTGCAGCTGCAATAGAAGAGATTGTAATTTGGAGAAAAATGTTTGGAAATAGTTGTCATATAATTCACTTTACAACACTTTTAAATTTTAATTTCTCTGATACTTAAATCTGTATGACCCTGGGCAAGTCAAAACTTCCCTGGGCTGCTCTTTCATCCTCTGAAAAATGAAGGGCATGGATTAGATGGCTTCAGAGTTCCCTTACCACTGTACATCTATGATTCCCTCAGTAACAGCCATTTTCCTCTTTTGTCATCTTTGCTAATTTAGTGGGTGTAAATCAAGAAGCATTTATTTTATTAAGTGCTTACTTTGTGCAAGGCTTGAGATAAAAAGAAAGGAGCTCTAAGAGTTCCCAATCTAATAGAGGAAACAAGATCAACCATATAATAGGCCTGAGGGCCAAATCCCAATTTTAGGCCATTGCTGTAGTTTGCCACCCCTGATATAGAGGACTTGGGAAGTGATCTCAGGGGGAAGGGGAGAGAGACCTCTTGCAGAAGGAAGGATAGTATTCTAGGCATAGGGAACACAGTAAAAATGCAAAAAAATCACAAGATGGGAGTGTTTTGTTCAAGGATTAGCAAGGAGGCTATTGCCACTAAGTTGTAGAGAACAGAACAGTGTGAGAAAACTGTAGGAAGGTGCTGGGTTACAAAGGACTTTAAATGCCAAATAGGATTTTCTACTTGATCCTGGAGGTGGTAAGGAGCCATTGAAATTAACTAAGAGGTGGCCTTGTCAGAGCTGCACTTTGGGAAGATCACTTTGGTGGCTGAATGGAGTGGGGAGAGAGAAGACAGGCAGAGCCCTCAGCAGATATTGCCATAATTCAGGCAGGAGGAGTTGAGGGCCTGCACCAAGGGGGTGGTGGTATCAGGGAAAAAAGAAGGAGATATAATTGAGAGGTGGCAATCAATTGGATAAGAAAGTGAAGAATGGAGGACACTACCTAAGTTTCTAACATGGGAAGTTTAGAAGAGCAGACTTTAAAAGAGGACTTAAGGGGAGTTTTAGATATGTTGAATTAAGATGGCTGTGAGACATTCCAGTTGGACATCTAAGAGTGTGGAGGTCAGGAGAGAAGTTATAGCTGTAGTAGAGAATCAAATGCAAAGAGATAACTGAATCCATGGAAGCTGATGAGATCATGAAGGAAGAGAAGAGAGCCCAGGATAGCCTTGAGACATCAGCAAGTGTGACCAGGATGGTAAGCAAATGGATTTAGAAGAAGCAATCAGTTCCCAGGAGGAGACCAAGAGACAGCAATGTCACAAAAGGAGAGTCCAGGTGAAGTGTGATTGACAGTGTCAGAGATCAAGACAGATAAGAACTAAAAGGCCATTAGATCTGTCAGTTAAAAAGTAACTTTGGAGATAGTAATTTCAAGTTGAATGAAGTTAGAAGCCAAACTTTGGAGAGTTAAGATAGAGGAAAGGAAGTTGAGGCACCTATTTTAGACTTCTCAAGGAGTTTTGCCATGAAAGAGGAGAGAGATGGGACAATTCTGAGGATGGGGGAGGCATAAGCATGTTTGCAGACAGCAGGAAACAACTGCTGGATGACAGGTTGAAGATTAATGGAAGAAGGGATGATACATGTAGAACAGAAGAAGAGGGAGCCCTTGGGTCAATTTTTCCTGAAGTGTGAGAAAAAGTCCTCACCTGAGAAGGTGAGAGACAAGGGTGACAAGGGAGGTTTGAGGCGGGATGAAAAGATTTGGAAAAGCTGCTGTGATGAATGGGAGTGAGTTAGATTGCCTTGCAGCAGTGAGGATACAGTTCCATGTAACAAATTTGTAGTGGACAAAGCATGGTTCTATGATTTTTTTCCAGCTTTTCAGCAGCATTTGAATAGTATGGAAGGCAACAGATGGTGGATGGGGCATGGTAGCACCAAATCCTTAATAGGATAATGGGACAGAGGCAGAGTCAAGATGGCAGAGGAAGCAACTGATCCAAGCTTGCCATCCCTTCACAATGATTTAGAAACACAACAGTCCAAATTGTGATGGGCAAAGCCAAGAAAAATTCATTTTTCCAGTGCAGGACAACTTACGGAGAAAGATCTATAGACACTGGGTATGGGACCTGGCCAGGAATGTGTGTAGTGGCTGTGAAGAACATTCCAGCACCCAGGGATGGAAAGAAGGCTGAGTAAGGCACCAGGGAAGACAGTACCAAGGGAGAAAGGGAGACCTGAATGAGTGCTAAGGGTGCCATCTGGCAGCTATGTTACCCACTACCCAGTTCTGGGTCCCACATCCAAGGAAAGAAGAGCAGTCACAAGAAGCATGGATGCTAGCTGTGTATTGAACAAAAAAATCAAGTTCCAGAAATGTAGCCGTGTGCCCACAAGCAGAGCAGGAATTTTTAAAAATAGCCTTTAGTCCAGCATTTAGTCACAACACACTCCAGTGGAATAACCAGGGTTAGAATCTCAGACCAAAAGGGACCTAGCAGTTCAGTTTCTCTGAACCTGCAGAACCTCCTAGTGAGTTGATAATGACTGAGTCCAGTAGCTGTCTCCTAAAATTCAGCCACTCACAAGCCAACAGACCAAACTTGGGTCTCTAAACAGGAGGGCAGTGAATAAGCCTCTCCCTGGATCACATCATTTTGGGAGCATTGATAACTTGCAGGCTCCTAGACAGATACGAAAGAGTAGAAGGTCGTAAAAGGACAGAAGCCTAGATCAGACATCTCCCCCCAAATGAGCAGAGCTCAGCATTAACATAAAGTCCAAAGTCTTCATGGAGTCCTCATTCTCCTTGACCTCTCTGCAGCCTGACACTGCTGATCACTCTCCTCTTCCTTGATAAGGTCTTCTGTCTAGATTTTTGGGACACTCCTCTATCTTGCTTCTCCTCCTTCTGTCTCCTATACTGGATCCTCCTCCAGATCATGCCCTCAGGTTCTGTCCTGGGCCCTCTTTTCTTCTATCCCTCTAGAGTACTTCACTTGGTGATCTCATCAGTTCCCATGGACTGAATGACCCTCTTTATGCTGATGATCTCTGTCCCCAACACTCTGCTGACCTCCAATCTCACATCTCCAACTGCCTCTCAGACATCTTGAACTGGATGTCTAGTAGATACCCGAAACTCTTGTGTCCAAAACAGAACTATTATCTTCTCCTCTAAACCCTCCCCCCCCACCTTTCCTATTACTAGAGAGGGTAGCACCATTCTCCCAGTCCTTCAGACTCATAACCTAGTATTCTTCACTCTCCCCCCCCAACATCCAAGCTGTTGCCAAAGCCTGCCCATCTCACCTCTGCAGCACCTCTCAAATATGTCCCCTTCTTTTCTCTGACATTGCCCCTACCCTGGTACAGGCTTATCTCATGCCTGCTTTGGGGGAGAGGAGGGTGTCTGTCTGCCTCAAGTCTCTCTCCACTCCATTCAGCCACTTAAGTGATTTTCCTAAATTGTAGGTATGATTATGTCAAACACGCCCCTGTGCCCCCCCCCCCCCAGCTTCCTATAGCCTCCAGGAGCCAATACAAAATCCTGTTAGGCATTTAAAGCCCTTCATAACCAACCCCCTCTCCTACTTTTCCAGTCTTATACTTTACTTCCTGATACATACCCTTTGATCCAGTGATATGGCCTCCTGGCTCTGGGCATTTTATTCTCTGGCTGTCCCCCATGCCTGAACACTCTTCCCTCCTGTGCTCTACCTACTGGATTCCTTAAGCCCCAACTAAAATTCCACCTTCTCCAAGAAGCCTTTCTCAACCCCTAGTAATTCCAGTGCCTTCTCTCTTTGAATTATCTCCTTTTTATCCTGTATACAGCCTGTTTTGTATATTTTTTTCATGTCGTCCCTCATTAGATTGTGAGCTCCTTGAGGGCAGGGATTGTCTTTTGCCTTTTTGTATCCCTAGTGTTTAGCACAGTACCTGGCATATATCAGGCACTTAATAAATGTTTACTGAATTAAAAAAAAATACATCTTACCCAAAAGGGAAGTAAAAGGGATAGGAGTTAAGGGAAAAGGGGGAGAATAAGAAGTGGAAGGCAGCAGTCAAAAGCAAAATGATTTTAAGTGGGAGGGGGAAATAAAAAGGAAAAGTATGAGAAAACAGGATGGAGGGAAACACAAGCAATCATATCTGTGAATGGGATGAATTCACCCATAAACAGAACAAAAAAAGAAACCAAACAAACCACAAATGAGCTAAGAAAAAAACCTCAGGATTAGATGGATTTGCAAGCAAATTCTACCAACCATTTAAAGAACAATTAATCTATACTATATAAACTTTTGAAAAAGCAGGCAGGGGGCAACTAGGTGGCGCAGTGGATAGAGTACCGGCCCTGGATTCAGGAGGACCTGAGTTCAAATGTGACCTCAGACACATAACACTTACTAGCTGTGTGACCCTGGGCAAGTCACTTAACCCCACTGTCTAGACAAAAACAAAAAAACAACCCCCCCCGCCAAAAAAAGTAGGCAAAAGAATCCCACCAAATTCCTTCTATGACACAAACATACCAGGGAGAGTCAAAATAATAATGATGATTATATAGCACATACTATGTGCCAGGCACTGTGCTAAGTAAGCACTTTACAAGTATTATCTCATTTGATTCTCAGGACAACCCTACCAGGCAGGTGCTTTTATTGTCCTCATTTTACAGATAAGGAAACTGAGGCAAGCAGCAGTTAAGAGACTTGCCCAGGGTCATATAGCCAGTAAGTGTCTGAGGCCACATTTGAACTCAGGTCTTTCCTGACTCCAGGCCCAGTGCTCTATCCCTTCATTGTGCCATCTAGCTGTCTCCTCAAAACAGAGAAAGAACACTATATACCAAATGTCCTAATGAATATTAATGTATGCATTTTAAATAAAATATTGAGATTTGAGCAATATCATATGAAAAAATGCTTAAATCGCTATTAGAATAATACAAATTAAAACAACTCTGAGGTACCTTTTCATATCTTTTATTCACTTACTAAGAAACAGCTTTGCAATTTAATATTAATGTGCTATTTGTC